AAGCCAACAAAGCCAACAAACAGGAAGACCTCAATGTCAAGTATGTGGTAAAACTGGCCACATAGCTTGGGATTGTTTCAATCGGTTTAATTAAGGATATCCAAATCCTTTCAACCAGTTCAACAATAAGTTTGAACGTGGTGAATCATCAGCACCAAGTTTACATGCAAATGTTGCAGTAGTGACTGGAAATGCAGCAGGCAATGTTCTGTCTGTGAATCAAGATGACACTACATCTGAATACTACTCTGTGTTTGACCCAATGTGGTATCCTGACTCAGGAGCTTCAAACCACTTCACACTTGATGCTTCCAATTTGCACTCCAAAGCCAGTTACAAAGGGCAGAACACAGTTCAGATAGGTAATGGTGCAGGTATGAAAGTTCAGCATGTAGGTCATTCTATTTTACATTCATCTTCCAATTCCTTATCCTTTACCTTACCCAATTTACTTCATGTTCCTGGTCTTTCTAAAAATCTTCTCAGTGTATCACAATTTGCCAAGGATCACAATGTCTTTTTTGAGTTCCATGCTAATCATTGTCTTGTTAAATCTCAGGCTACCAAGGAGATTCTTCTCCAAGGCAAGCTTAAAGATGGACTCTATGTCTTTGAAGGAGCCACTACTCTACCTACTTCAAATTACTCAGCATTACAAGTGCAAGCTGTTTCAAATAAGTGTCAATCAGATTCAACACTTGAACTGTGGCACAGTAGATTAGGTCATGCCTCATTTTCCACTGTAAAATCTGTCCTATCTCATTGTAAAATTCCATTTAATAATACAAAGAGTTCCTTGTGTTGTGCCTGCTGTTTAGGAAAAATGCACCAGCTTCCATTTTCTATTTCCACCGCTGTCTATCATAAACCTCTTGAATTAGTATATTCGGATGTTTGGGGTCCATCTCCTACTGATAGCATAAATGGATCCAAATATTACATATGTTTTGTTGATGCATTTAGCAAATACACTTGGTTATATCCTATGCGATCTAGATCACAGGTCCATGTTGTCTTTATGCAATTTAAAACTATGACTGAACTTCAACTCAACAGCAAACTAAAAGTCCTCCAAACTGATAATCAAGAATTTTTTTCAAACTGAAGGAGTTATCCATCGTATGTCATGTCCTCATATTCACCAACAAAATGGAACTCCAGAACGTAAACATAGACACATAGTTGAAATGGGTCTATCAATGTTAGCAGCCTCACATTTACCACAAAAATTCTGGGAGGATGCCTTTATCTCAGCTTCATACATCATTAATCTTCTTCCATCACCCACACTCCAAAATTTGTCACCATTTCAGGTTCTGTTTAACCGTGAACCAAACTATTCTTTCCTACGCACATTTGGTTGCCTTTGCTTTCCCTATCTTAGACCATATAATTCGCACAAATTGGATTATAGGTCTGCACCTTGCACTTTCATTGGCTACAGTACATCACATAAAGGTTACAAATGTTTAACTCCATCAGAAAAAATCATCATTTCAAGAAATGTATTATTTGATGAACAGAATTTTCCTTTTGTTTCCAAGTCTATACCTATAGAGTCCATTGTCCCTCCTTCTAGTGCTGCCTCTGTTCCCTTTATTCCTATAGTGTCTACTGTTGTCCCTCCTCCACCATCCAGTGATGTACATGCTGAGGTTTCTACTAACCATATTACTCATGATTATGTTTCAACTGCTAACATTAATTGCAGGTCTCCTTCACCTCTTTCTACACCACCTATATCAACAAATTTACACCCAATGCTTACTAGAGCAAAAACTGGTACCTTCAGACCTCGGGTCTTCACTGCTTCTTTAGAACCAAGCTCAGTTGATCAAGCAATGGCTGATCCTCAGTGGCTACATGCAATGAAGGATGAATATCAAGCTCTCATGAAAAACAACACATGGGATCTTGTCTCCTTTCCTAATGACAGAAAGCCCATAGGGTGTAAGTGGGTATTTAGAGTGAAGTACAATCCCGATGGCTCAATTCTCAAATACAAAGCCCGTCTTGTTGCAAAGGGCTTCCATCAACGTAAAGGCATAGACTATGCTGAAACATTCAGCCCAGTAGTTAAACCTGTCACCATCCGAATTGTTCTCACACTTGCACTCTCCAACAAATGGCCTATACATCAACTTGATGTAAACAATGCGTTTCTTAATGGAGACCTCACTGAGGAAGTTTTTATGACTCAGCCACTTGGATTCTCTGTCACTAACACATCTCTTGTGTGTCGATTGCGCAAAGCTCTGTATGGCCTCAAACAAGCGCCCAGAGCATGGTTTGACAAGCTTTCTGCCACTCTTCTTCGTCTTGGCTTCTCTGCAACCAAGTGTGACTCTTCCTTGTTTGTTTCCTATGCCAATTCAGCCACCACGTATGTCCTGGTATATGTGGATGATATCCTTATTACTGGATCGTCTTCATCTGTCATCTCCACACTAATCCAGTCTCTTCATAAAGCCTTTACTCTTAAGGATTTGGGCAACCTCCATTACTTCCTTGGCATTGAAGCTCAATCTTCATCCAATGGTAATCTGCACTTAACTCAACGAAATACATCACTGATCTGCTAAACAAAGCTGGTATGACGAGTTGCAAGTCTCCCAACACCAATGGTTGCTGGTGTCAAACTCTCTGCCAGAGATGGATCTCCCTTTCATGATCCCTCTTTGTATCGTTCCATAGTGGGTGCACTCCAATATGCAACAGTGACACGTCCAGACATCACCTTTAGTGTGAACAAGGTCTGCCAGTTTATGCACTTTCCTCTTGACACCCACTGGCATGCTGTCAAACGGATACTGAGGTATCTAAATGGTACACTTCATCTGGGCTTAACCATTTCTCCTTCCTCCCATCTTCATCTCAAGGCATTTTGCGATTCTGATTGGGGTTCTGACATCGATGATAGACGCTCCACTTCAGGGTTTTGCATCTTTCTTAGGGGGAATGTAGTATCATGGTCCTCCAAGAAGCAAGCAGTTGTGAGTCGCTCTAGCACCGAAGCTGAGTATAGATGCTTGGCTGCAACCATGACTGAACTAACTTGGATCAAGTCCTTGTTATCTGAACTTAGAGTAACATTATCTCAAACTCCCAGCATTTTCTGTGACAATTTAAGTGTTGTTTTACTTACTGCAAATCCCCTTTTTCATTCAAGGACAAAGCATTTTGAATTAGATCTTCATTTCGTTCTTGAAAAGGTGCTGGACAAGTCTGTTTCAGTACACCATGTTCCTTCATCAGATCAAATAGCAGATGGCCTTACGAAGGCAATAACACGCTCAAAGTACTTGGATTTTAGAGACAAGCTCAGTCTCTCTGTTCCTCCGACACTGACCTTGAGGGGGAATGTAAACGGATAAAGTAGATTTAACAGATTCCTTATTATACGCTTCAGTTATAACTGATTTAGTTATTACAGCTATTATCAGCATTGTATATATGTAACAGTTCACATTATGATTCAATTCAAGATTTCTATTATTCAGTTTATTTCTTTCTTCTTGTTCATCCTCTATTCTCTCCATCTCTCTCTTGAGATATATAGTCTCACATTGATTGTGTGGGCAACTAATGTGGCCTTTATAAGGCCTTGGGCACTCTCACCCTTTGAGCTAGCTTTTGGGGTGGTGTATCCCAAGGTTCTTTACATGGTATCAGAGCTTGAGTTGACTATAAGGTCACAAGTTCGATTCTCACGGCCCCCCACTTTCAAGTGGAATTAAAATAAAAAGCACAAAAAGGTAAACCAAAAATTGGGCCTGTGCAATTTCACGCTTCTCGCCCAAAGGGCTCTTGCGTGAGGGGGCGTGTTGAGATATATAGTCCCACATTGATTGTGTGGGCAACTAATGTGGCCTTTATAAGGCCTTGGGCACTCTCACCCTTTGAGCTAGCTTTTGGGGTGGTGTATCCCAAGGTTCTTTACAATTAAATTACAGATGATGTTTTGGCATGGATCACAAATATGGCTGTACATATACAAGCAACTGAAAACTAAAATGTAATATAATAATATCAAAATCCCTAAATTTGGTTCTCGGCAATACAAGGAATTTCTAATCACAATTATTTAATCACAATTATGTTTAAACCCATGACTGCAGCGACTTATCATGGAATTGGATCTATGAAAACCGCAAGGTTATTGACTTAGTTTATTAAAAATATTGATTAATAAATTAATAAATAAAATATGCAAGAGCAAAGGATCATTATGTGGGTGAGGTACAATCTTTAGGGGTATGTGTCCATTCTCCGTTTGTGAAGATTTTGAAAAATGGTACTGTAAAAACTGCCACAAACATTGGGAAGATTATATGCCTGGGTAATATATCGCTGCTAATCTTTAAACTGTATTTGTATCGGTTGAGTAATTATCTGTTTGTGATACATGTCTTTTTAAATATTTATAGATTTAGTGTTCAAGTCAGAGTTGTAGATAACACAGATTCTGCTTCTTTTTTGCTGTTTGATCGAGACTGTGTTACTTTGTTGGGAATGAGTGCTGCTGAACTGTGCGAGTTGCATTTCAAGAGGGTTTGTATGCTTATTTGGATCAATTAGTTATGCAGTACTATATGAGTTGTGTTGCTATAGCGTGGTCTGTATGTATGCTTTTTTCACAAATATGGTTGTACATATACAAGCAACTGAAAACTAAAATATAATATAATAATATCAAAATCCCTAAATTCGGTTCTCGGCAATACAAGGAATTTCTAATCATAATTATGTTTAAACCCATGACTGCAGCGACTCATCATGGAATTGGATCTATGAAAACCGCAAGGTTATTGACTTAGTTTATTAAAAAATATTGATTAATAAATTAATAAATAAAATATGCAAGAGCAAAGGATCAACAAATTCAATCACCTCCAATGTTAAAGAATTGGGTTCTAAATCATATTACTTAGGCTCTGATAACAAATGTAAGAAATTTCAAAATATGATTATATGAAATTAGAACACCAAGAGATTCAGGCTTACTTCTTGTTGAAGACATGATTCTTGATTTCTTCTTGCTTCTTGTTTGCTCTCTGACGCTCCTGCAAGATCGACAACGATTTACCCTGGTTCACCCAATTTAGGCAATGTCCAGCTTGTTTGTACTATATTCACCTCACCGCCACTCGTTACTAGTCACTCGGTTTACAAGAAAAATATAAATAGGATTAGAAAATCCTAACAGCAGCTATTCATGGGCCCAAGCCCAAACTGCTAAGAAAATTACAATACAACAGAGGCCCACAACAGTACCTAGCCTCTACGGGCCGGGGGGGCGCTTTCCCCCGGACCCCTGCCCGCTCACCTGGGAGCAGGATCCCAGTTGCCTTTCTGTTGACCCCGAGAACTAGGGCCATCATCAACAAGCGAAGTATGAGCCATACCTAACATTCTCCTACTTGGTGAATGCTTTGTGTTTCTTCAATCCCAATGCAGCTGTACACCATTCAAACTTCTCTGAAGTCACTACCTTGGTCAGAAAATCAGCATTCTTGACCTTTGTGTCAACCTTTTCCAGCAATACAACCTTGTCTTCGATCTTCTCTCTGATGAAGTGATACTGTATGCCGATATGCTTGGTCCTCGCATGGAAACCTGGGTTCTTAGCCAAGAAAATGGCGCTTTGACTGTCACATCCAATGATCATCTCTCCTTGTGCAAAGCCAAGCTCTTTGCACAACCTCCGTAACCAAATAGCCTCCTTAACAGCATGTGTCAAGGCCATGTACTCAGCCTCTGTAGAAGATAAAGCAATAATGCTCTCCCTCTTACTCATCCAACTGATAGCTCCGCCAAATGAAGAAACAACATATCAACTTGTAGACCTTCTACTATCAATATCACCTCCCCAGTCAGCATCCACAAAGCATCTCAGTTTTAATAATGTCTGTCCCATTGAGCCCTTCACGCCTTCATAGCATAACCCTAGGTCAGACGTACCACGAAGATAATGGAACACACGCTTCACAGCCGTCCAATGCTCCTTTCCTGGCTTGGACATATACCTGCTCAATACTCCCACTGCTTGAGCAATATCAGGTCGAGTACAAATCATGGCATACATCAGACTCCCAACTGCACTAGCATTAGGAACTGATGCCATCTCTTTTTCTTCTTCAGTCTTGGGATACTGGTCAACCGATAACTTAGAACCAGTAGACATGGGAGTCAACACAAGCTTGCAGTCAGTCATCTTGAATTTCTTCAGAATATCCTCTATACACTTTCGCTGACTTAACCATAATCTTCCTTTGTCACGCTCCCTCTTAATCTGCATACCCAATATCACATTTCCAACACCTAGATCTTTCATTTCAAACTGCTTTGCTAGCAGTCCTTTAACAGTGATGATCATCTTCAAACTGTTTCCAACGAGTAACATGTCGTCAACATACAAATTAAGAATAACAAAGTCACCTTCTAACCTTTTCACATAAACACAGTGATAAACATCACAGCGGTCAAAGCCTAGCTGCACCACATAAGTATCGAACTTCATGTACCACATCCTTGGGGACTGCTTCAGGCCATACAGAGATTTATTCAGCTTGTAGACTAGCTCCTCTTTGCCTCTTGCAATGAACCTCTTTGGTTGCTTCATGAAAATAACCTCCTCCAAATCACCATGAAGGAAAACCGTCTTCACATCCAGCTGCTCCACCTCTAGGTCATATGTACCTGCTACAGACAAAATCAGTCTTATGGAATTTAACTTTGCAACAGGTGAAAATACCTCACCATAATCAACCCCTTCTGTCTGTGAATATCCCTTTGCAACCAATCGAGCCTTGTAGCACTCAATCTCCCCATTGGCACCAACCTTCTTCTTGAACACCCACTTGCAACCAATTGCTTTTCGGTCTGCAGGTAGATTCACCAAACTCCAAGTTTGATTTTCATCAGAGACTTCATCTCTTTTCATAGCTTCCTCCCACTGTTTGCCATCCTCCGAGCTCCTAGCTTGTTTTACAGTGCTCGGATCATCACCTGTAATACTAAATGCACAAACATCATCACTAGCACACAGGATATAATTTTTAGGTGTATACCTCTCAGATAATCTTCTTTCCCTCGTGGATCTCCTCAGCACTGGTGCTTCAACCTCATTCTCGGTTTCAGAAAATTCATCCTCTACCTCGTTATATTCAGCAGCTTCAGAATTCAAATTTCCCAATTCAACCTGTGAGTTTACTGTATCCTCTTTCAAACCCACATCCAACTCCACTGTCTGTGACTTTTCAGGAGCTTCAGGAAAAATTTGATTCAACTTAGATTCCCTGAATACAACGTCTCTGTTGTAAGTTACACTTCTAGTATCCGGATTCCACAACTTATAACCTTTGACGCTATCAGAATATGTTTAAACCCATGACTGCAGCGACTTATCATGGAATTGGATCTATGAAAACCGCAAGGTTATTGACTTAGTTTATTAAAAAATATTGATTAATAAATTAATAAATAAAATATGCAAGAGCAAAGGATCAACAAATTCAATCACCTCCAATGTTAAAGAATTGGGTTCTAAATCATATAACTTAGGCTCTGATAACAAATGTAAGAAATTTCAAAATATGATTATATGAAATTAGAACACCAAAAGATTCAGGCTTACTTCTTGTTGAAGACATGATTCTTGATTTCTTCTTGCTTCTTGTTTGCTCTCTGACGCTCCTGCAAGATCGAAAAAACTAGGATCTTCTTCTGCAGTTCACACCACTCCCTAATCACAACTCTAGATAGGGCAAGCTGTGGAGTGACGGTTTTTCTACACACTGTTGTGAATGCAGAGAGACACTAATCAGTTTACAGATATCTAAACCCAAATCAAAAGGATCACTAATTAATTGGGCTTTATACTGCACCCCTATATGGATCATGACTTAGTCCGTTTTTTATTAAAATAAGAAAAACTATAATTGATTGAAGCCCACAATTATTATAAAAATTTCTAACAGTATCTCGATCGAGCCAATAACCGAATCGGATTTAATAACATTGGTTTTTGGAGTTAGAGACTGCATATTGTTATGTCCTCAGTAGTGGTTTAGTATATGTTCCACATGCTCCCGAAGTTGTAACGCAATTTCATGCTCAAATGTATTTGATTGTTGTTTGTGGTGTAACACGTTAATTTTGAGTGAACGATTAAAATTTTGCAAGTGATCTCATAATATGCTGTCAGGTCTATTAAAGTGGTCATTACGTTTTCTGAAATGCAATATACTTTACATGTGAAAATCCTTTTGATGATTTGTATTTGCGATGACAGGAGGGAATGATATGATTTTATTGTGAGTGCCAATCACGAAAAAATGTTATGGCTGTATTGTGTTTTCTTTTTTCTTTTTTCATTTGGAGATTTTGCACCCGGTTCATCAATTTTTTGATTAATATGATCGAGTCAGGTAAGACTATACTGCCGGCAAAACTCTTTCTCATGGTCTTTACGTTGTAAGTGTCAAGCAGGAAAACATCTTATGGATGTATGATTGAGTCTTTTTCTTTTTTCGAGATTTTTTTCACTGGTTTATTGATTATTTAACTAATCCAGTCTAGTTAGGTAGGACTTACAAAAATAACAAAATTCTTCCAATCAAATTTTTATCATAATTACATATTCATAACTCTAACTCTAACTCTAACTCGGGACTTCTAATTCTTAGCACTCATGCATTTACCGTTAGATACACAACATATCTCCTAAATTTGTGAAGTTTGAATGTAAATCCGTTGAATTTCGGGGTCTGGAAATATGAGGAAACTATCAACCTGTGCAGAACGAGTCCTATATTTCTTGGTATATAAATATGGTATAACTCTTCCAAATGCAATAATACAAGAAAAAGAAGAAGAAAGAAAGCAAATCTTGATTAAAACTAATTAAAAGGATATTACAAAGAAAGAAAGATGCAAACACTGCATTTTGACAAAAGAAAAACCAAGAATTTTTACAAGAACCACAACCTCTAAAGCTAATTAAAAGGAAACCATACAAATCCATGGGACACGACAGAGCAACAGTCTCCAAGAAATCCCAAACAGCTAGCTTACTACAAAGAAAAGTAACTGAACTAGAACAATACAAAAAATTAAGAGACAAGCTAGCCACAACCTCTGAAACTAAGTACAAGAATGCAAAAAACAGCTAGCGTACGTTATGTATGTTTACTTATACCCCTTAATTTGATCTGTTACATTAATTATTGTTCTGCATGTTGTGGTTGTAAACCAAGTCTAGCGAATCCAAGAGGTGAACAGAATATCTACCGTTGTTTAGCATGCTGAGGTTGTAACCCAATTCCAGACGATATCGGATATTGCTGTTTAGCATGCTGAGGTTGTAACCCAATTCCAGACGAGATCGGATATTGCTGTTTTGCATGTTGTGGTTGTAACCCAATTCAGCATGAGATCGGATATTGCTTCTTAGCATGTTTTTGTTTTGGTTGTAAAACAACTCACCACGAGATCGGATATTGCTTCTAATTTGCATGTTGTGGTTGTAACCCAATTCCGCACGAGATCGGATATTGCTGCTTTGTATGTTGTGGTTGAATGAATCTAAGACCAAAACGTCGCCGTCCAAAAGCTTCCCCTGACGTTGAGCATTCAAAACCAGAGTCTCTATTGAGAAAGAAGTAGCCATTCTTGGCATGCAAACAGATAGATGTACAGAGAGAGACAGAGAGAGATATGTATGTAGAAAGAGAAGAGAAAGTTTACTTGTGAGGAGATGAAGTGGTGTGGTATAATTTATAGAATTTGCACCTCACTTAATTAGTCACTTGTTGTTCTGCGTTGATTAGCTGGATTTATTAAATCTAAGATTGAAATTTGATTTTGATTTTGATTTGATTTGATTTGCGTCATAAAGTTATTCTGTTTTTTTATTACCGTTTCAATTATTACAGCTTTTAGGTTTCTTTATTGAAAATTACATGTTTATAAAAAGCTTGCATTTATTACATGCGCTTATTGTATTTATTCTTCATGATTTTCTTTCCTTTTTGTTTGTTTTTTTAATTTTAATGACCTTCATTATTTCCATTAAATGGACATCTGAGGTATGCTCCTGTTAGCACTAAATTATTTATATAATTATTGCATTATTTTATATTATTTTATATCTTTTTGGGTTGACAATTACACGAAAATAGGCTGAAAGAATATGAAATATAGCCCAATTCCAATAAAGGAAGTAACCAAGCCCAAGTTAATTTAATTTTTGCTGATAATTGTAATTATTCATATTTTTTAGGTATTTTTGGAAGAAGGCACATGGATCAAATTTTTTGGAAGAGGGGACAATTCAGAAGCATTGGTTGACAAGAAGATAGACGGCTATTAGCTTTTAGAATTTTTTAGTTTTTAGTTCCTTTTGTGGGTTGTAAAAAATACACAGTTTTAGATTTAGAATTTTTCAATCTTCGTTGTTTTTTTTAGAAAACTTTGAGTGTTGTTAGATTCTGTTTGTTGAAAGCTCAATGTGCTTTTCATTTCTTCTTGAACTCGAAGTGCAATGACGAAGCATCTTCGCTGGAAGGAAGAATCAATGGTGCATGCAAGTGAAGTTTAATATTTTTGTTCCTCGTTTAGGGATCGAAACATTGGTTTGTACGATTAACCTTGATCTTTAATTTTGAATGCATGTTTCTTTTTCTGATATCTCTTATTTGTTGTTTTTAAAAATGGGTTTCTAATTCCTTTCTTTTTCTGGGTTTGTCAAAATGATTGGGTGAAATTTTTGATGTGCATTGTTATTGTTTCTTTTATTTCATTCGTTTGATACTTTCATTTTTTCACTTAAGAAATCCATGGGAATGGGACTTGAGTATTTCAACAAAAGGGAATTGGGAAATGGACTTTTGTTAAGTGTTAAATGAACCCTTTTGTTTAGGAATAATCGGTGTATTCTGATACAAATTTCTATAAAGATTCAAGAAACTTTGGGAAAAGTCTTTCTTGAACCTTATTGTTGAATCTGGAAAGCTTCAGCTAAAATTGCCGTAATAACTCATAAATTAAAATAAACATGCTATAGCAATGTACGAATTTGCAGTAATGCAAATAACTTTTGTCATCAATGAATTGAGATATACTCAGAAGCTTTTAATATTGATAAATCAATTCTTTACTTTTTAGATCAATTTTAATGATTAATAAAAACTATACAAAAATTTCTTGTTATAAAAATAATTAAATTTCAATTCAAGAATCTTTATATCAGAAAAATACAAAGAAAAATAATTCAACCTGTTCCCTAAGGACGATAACTCTTTCTTCGGAAATTACTACCCAACAGCTCCAGGCCTCCAGCAACATTATATATTTTAGGCAATACTTTAAATTAAATAATAAAAAAAAGCTCTTGCAATGGCTGAGGGTGCTCCTCCTCCATGGCTCAATTTTTTTTATTCTTTAATTTTTTTATTTATTTTGAATTTTTTCCAACTCTTCACAGATCTTTTGAATCACATTAAAACTTCTTTGTTAGTCATCGATTCAATCTTATTAATTTATAAAATTTATGTTGTTCTTCAGATCTAAATTTTTTTGTGATTTTTCAATCCATTGACACTGGTAATTTGATAGAAACTGATTCAGAAGGAGAAAATTTATATTACAATAATAAAAACAGAGACTAATGTATATTGACGATGATTTCAAATGCTGTGGTAATTGATTTCAAATGCTTCCGCACCGTTCACCTGGGCAGAGATTAACGATAAAGGGGAAAAATTAGGTATATGGCAGAGGAAGAGAGAAAGGGGAGGAGAGAGAAAGGGTATGGGAGAAAGTGAGAAGAAAAAAAGGGAAAAAAAGATTTATTTTATATCACAAATATGGATTGTTGGATGAGATAGTAATCGAACGGTAACGAAAGGAGTAGGCAAAAGTAGGTAAAATAAGAGTAGGCACAATAACCTATCCCTACTTTAAATTAAATAATAAAAAAAAGCTCTTGCAATGGCTGAGGGTGCTCCTCCTCCATGGCTTATGAATATGCTGGCAATACCGCTGTTTTATTATTTTGTTCTTTGCCTTGTCATTAATTGGCATATAATGGGTAACACATTTGTTATTGGAAAAAAAAAATTAGCTACCCATGCCATAGTAGTAGGAGTGTAAATGGGCTAAGCCGTCCTACAAGGGCCTACGGCCTAGCCTATATTAGGTTAGACTTGAATTATTACTAATAGTAAAATAGAACAGGCTCAAAATTTTAAAAAAACTTATTTAGAAAATAGGTCATAGGCTTTTTTGTACATGTCGGGCCTATAAGCCTCAGGCCGACCTATATCCTATTATTTATTTTAAATAAAATAAATAAAAATTTTAATTTAATAATTTTGAATAAAAAAATATTATTTTAATTATTCATTTAATTGTTGAATTTTTAGCCTTGGATGTCTCTTTGCGAAAGAAGTGGTTGCTGATAAAGCTTCGTCCATAATAGCTGCCATGAATATATATATATATATATATATATATATATATAAGTTTGCCCATGGACTATTTTATGCTTTTTGAACTATACTGAATTTTTCAGTGTCTGGGTTTTCCTTTTTATAGTGTCAGGCAAAAAGCCAATTGTCTAAAAACAAAGAACAGTGAACTGTTATAAAGCACAATATGTGTCTACATGACACAAGACGTGTCATGTAATGTTACTTACATTTCCTTTGAATGTTTTAAGCCTATAATTTCAGTTACTTACAGATAGAATTCTTATAGGACATATATTGCATTGATATATATTTTTCTATAGTGCAACTTAAAACTATTTTAAAGGAGAGTTTTGTCGTCCCTGTTATCTTGTCTATCTCGATTTTATGATGCAACTTAAAGCTGCTTTATGTTGGAAATCGACAACACACAAACCGAAAATGGAAAAGAAAAAGAGAGAGAGAGAGAGAATAGACACAGCGATTTACCCTGGTTCACCCAATTTAGGCTACGTCCAGCTTGTCTGTACTATATTCACCTCACCACCACTCTTTACTAGTCACTCGGTTTACAAGAAAAATATAAATAAGATTAGAAAATTCTAACAGCAGCTATTCATGGCCCAAGCCCAAACTGCTAAGAAAATTACAATACAACAGAGCCCCACAATAGTACCTAGCCTCTACGGGCCGGGGAACGCTTCCCCCCGGACCCCTGCCCGCTCACCTGGGAGCAAGATCCCAGTTGCCTTTCTGCTGACCTCGACAACAAGGGTCATCATCAACATGCGAAGTATGAGCTATACCCAACATTCTCCTACTTGGTGAATGCTTTGCATGTTTCTTCAATCCCAATGCAGCTGTACAGCATTCAAACTTCTCTGAAGTCACTACCTTGGTCAGAAAATCAGAATTGTTGACCTTTGTGTCAACCTTTTCCAGCAATACAACCTTGTCTTCAATCTTCTCTCTGATGAAGTGATACTGTATGCCGATATGCTTGGTCCTCGCATGGAAACCTGGTTTCTTAGCCAAGAAAATGGCGCTTTGACTGTCACACCCAACGATCATCTCTCCTTATGCAAAGCCAAGCTCTTTGTGAAAGAAACTGACCTTGAAGGTCGAGGCATGTGAGAGGGAAAAACAAAATTTTTCGAGCGGAATAACACATACATATCAAGAAACATGCTTTAGGGCATGGATGTTACCTTGTTTGCTTTTCAAAACTGGAGGATGATCAAGATGAGGCTTGAAGATGCAAGCCCTCTAATGTTGATCCACACCACCCTTTGTCAAGACGGAAGAACTCTTCTTCAAGGCCACCAACGAAAACACCAATGGAGGCATGCTATGCGCCCAATGTGTGAAGGAGGAGGCTAGGTCAAGGTGTTTAGAAGAGTGAATATTCAGCAAGAATAGACACAAAAGTGGCGTATGGTTTTCTTTGAAAAAGGCTAGGTTATTTCGAAACTCTCTTAAGAAAAACCTCACAAAAGGAACCCACAAGGAGATGAGAGAATGAGTTAATTAAAATCTAATTTTCTTCACTCAAATAAGGCCCTATATATAGCGCACACTAGGGGGATGAGTGAAGTTGTTGCAAAATTCAAATCTTGTCAACAACCTCCTCTCAGATCCTCATGATATCAAGTGAATATCTCAACAAGAATCTGACTCAACAACCATCATATGGCCAGCCATATGGTGCGCCCCACTTGGCCTCATAACAGTCCAGATACATTGAACAGTTGCATTCAAACTTGAACCAACTGTCTCACTTATTCTCTCAACAAACCAAATCTGACTGGAGCTCATTTGGTTGATCCTATGACCATCATCAGATACCTTAATCAGCGCCCCATATCCTCACTAGAAGATTCTCAAAGATCTCCTCTTGATATTTGGGATTTGTTCCAACAAGATCTTATCTTATCCTTTTGTTATGAAACAACTTTTCATAGCCAATTCAAATTCGAATTCAAACATTTGAATTCAAACGTTCAAATATTCAAATTCAAATTTCAAATTCAAAATTCAAATTCAAATTCAAAATTCAAAATTCAAAATTCAAAATTTCAAATTTCAAATTCAAATTTCAAATTTCAAATTTCAAATTCAAAATTCAAAATTCAAATTTCAAAATTCAAATTCAAAATTCAAAATTCAAATTTCAAATTTCAAATTTCAAATTCAAAATTCAAAATTTAAACATTTGATAATTAATTTAACTAATTAAATTAATTAGTAATGTCTTGGACCATCCAAGCCCATTAACTAACCATGCGCCCTTTTTTCCTTTTGGTGGGCTTCCAAACTTCTTCTTGGGCTAACAACCATTATTAGGCCCAATACCTTTAATGCTATATTGTCATGACAATAAGGTGTTAGTGTGTGACCCATTAGGCCCAACATAGCCACTGACATAAATGGGCTTGGGCCCAATAAGCCAACAACCCATCTAATGACAACACAGAGCACTAGCAATGATTTGTTGCCCCAGAGCTAGTTAGGTTAATGACATAATCATCCTATTACACATATTTGGTTGCCGTATGTATTTCCTTTAGTTTTGGTTACCTTCCCATAAAACCTAGGGTAAGGAAACGTATCAACCCTTGCGGTTTAGGGTAAGCTTTATTCGAAATAGGGAATCTTCAATTTACTGACTCTAAAGGCAGATCATCTCATGATCTCTTTTACTATGCATAGATTCCCGAGTCCCTGTAAATGTCATCCCGATTTCTCCGGTTTACAGATAACCTAATCTCTCACAGAGATCTGACAAATTCCTTCAGCTTATCACCCTAGCCCTGTGCTCTTTCAGGACAAGCCCAACAATATACCTATGAGTCTCCATGTTTCAGGCAGACGAGGTATACAGTCAAAGCATGCCTTCTAGAACACAGTCTAGGTAATAACTTCTGGTCTAAGGAAAGACATACCCAAATATAAAGAGACTACTCTAATGATACTCTCTGTGAGATTTCCTGATGGTATTGTAACTTTAATCCCTTTAACCACCCCAGATCCTCTACATGACATACAAAAGTCCTGTACAAAATAGATAAACTAAATACAATTTTTTACAGAGAAAGCAACCTCACAAGATTACTTAACGTGAGATTTATAAAAGACCTTAATTATACGGCCTGATCCTTTACAAGTAATGCATGTTGAAGTAAATGGAGGGATTGTAACCTGGTAGAAAATCACCACAACCAAGAATAAAAAAATATATTAATAACTGATAACTCCAATACCTCAAAAAGAAATTGTCTCATGCATGGCTCACATCTTGCTTTAAAATATTTATGCCATATTAACAATCAACATTGGTCTTTGAAGGCACTTACTCGACCTGAGCCCCTGCATGTTGGACAAACTTTAGGGTTGGCATCTTGCGGATAGCCCCGCCCATCTGGATTAATATAACGAAAATGATTAACATCAAATGGGATTATCATTGTGTCAAGGGGAACAACATACATACTGGCTCACTTCACTACAAACTGATGTTACGAGGGACAACATTTTACACATCCAGCAGTACATACTTTTGATTATTTCCTCAAAACAGTTCTGCAGCTTATAGAAATTTTTGTTATAGCCACAGATTAACAAGCAATAAATATAAGTAAACCTTGTCCAATGAATTATGTTCATTAGTAATAATTTTCTTCAATTAGGCAAGGGCGAGGGGGGAGGCAGGAAGAGGCTACCCTAGTGTAAATGAAGCCACAGGTCACGCCTAGGTTCTATCATTCAAAACTAGGGTTCATCCATAAGATTTCTCCATGTATGATTCCAATCTAACAGGATTGCATTACTGCTGGTTGCTAATAAGCCTATCTTTTGCTACTTTCATACATAGATGGGAAAATGTAAAACTTCAATACAATAAAATATAGATTTTGTTTAATCCCAATCACCCTCCCCACAAAAAAGAAAGTTCTCACATAAAGTTCTTATTACAATGCAACATACACAAGATTCTACACTAAACTTCGTTCGCAATCGAAATGGATTCTTATGCAGACAATATTTAACCATTTCCTAATGTAATAATAACATATGGAAATAACTAATATACAACTCCAGTATTGACACATATTTCTCCCCAGGGCTTCCCTAATTCCCATAACATGTTAACTTTACTCACTGCAATAATCACAGGGAATTAACGCATCAAACGACACATGTTTGGTGCATCCTCTTGCAGCTTCTGAGAAAGTAAGAGTCAACTCCACCTATTAACAAAGCAATAAGCAAATGGTTAAGCTTGAAAAAGTAGGAACATGTTTCAAACAACAACAGAGAAACAAGGGTTAAGCTGACCTCTATATTTGACGAGAATTGAGTTGCTTCTTCAAATATCTGTCCAGATCAAGAATGTTATGAGATTTCCTAAGAGAATAATTATATGAAATCAATAAAAATGAAGAATGCATACATATATATATATATATATATATATAAAATCAATTCATAAAAGTAAACAATAAGTTTGAGACCAAAATTTACCTCAGAGAACACTTTATGAAATGAATCAGAAAAATGAGAACGATAAGCATTTCTAAACCTTTCTGCATCATCATCACCGTATTCAATGTTCTCTGAACCACGATTACGCATCTTCAGTTGAAAAAGTCATTCATCGTAGAAAATGATGGAAAATAGTTAGTCAATTCAACATCCTATTTAAGAGTGAAGGCTATGAATTAAAGAAATTTTGACCATCTTTACTCAACTTGAAGCTCCTCACCAACCCAACTTAGAGTAACAATTATACCAAATTTGAAATTTTAATAGCATATAGGAAGACCAAAATACCTTGTCATACTCTGCCCTTTTTTTAGAGTCTCTCAATGTCTGAAATTACATAGCAAAAAGGCCAGTTAAAATATCATTCAGTTAATTAATTAGTTTAGACACTAACCAGCCTAGGCAGAAGAAGTGAAGGCTAAAAATGTCAGAAAAAGATGAGATTAATAGATTAATAAAGACCTCATATTCTTCTCTTATATCAAGAAATTTCCTCTTCGAAGATGGATTATTCTTACTTGCATCTGGATGGTACTTTTTAGCAAGCTGCACAAGAGACAAAAGTGTGTCATAATGCAGTATTAGCCAGAAGAAGACCTTTGATTTTCAAATATTGTTGTCAAAGGAGTATGATGACAGAATATATCAAGATTGCAAGCCAAAATGCCCAGGCATACTGTTTTTAGTATGCTCTACGCCCCAAAAGTAGTCATATTAGATTAAACTGCACAAACAAAACTTCTATAAGTAATACCACTTTGACAATATTGTGGGAAATTGTTAAGCATTCACATATTACGTTTTGTGACTTTGAGTAACTATCTTTTGGAAAAAAGAAGAATTCATTATGATGAAGAGAATATAATTACTATGAAGTTGGAAGATAATGGATCCTGATTAAGATAAATGGGAAAAAACTAAAAAAAAATAAAATAAAAAATTATTCCCAAATAGAAGTCAGTCGCTAATCGTATCCCAAATTAGCTGTTGTGACTTTTACTATTTCACAACTAGAAGTTATGTGACAACATCTCATCCTATCATCTAAAGATGAAACTACCTCTCCTATCATTGTCTTTACACTTCACATCATTCAAAAATTATTCCCAGTTGTTGTATCTCTCTGCATGCACGAGATTTCAACTCCAAAATTCAAAGTGATAATGAATCGATTAATCAGCAGCGAGATTAATGCTGATTATGCACAAAAATGTAAATCAACAAGAACAAGGGTCAGCTTGGTTAAGGCACAAACAGAAGAAGAAAAATATATGCTTGCTTAGTACGAGAGTAAAGATGAAGAAACAAAAACGAGAATGGTTAAGGTTTTACATTCCATCCACAGTAAGGTTTTCCTCTCTTAAATGAGATGAAAATGAAGCAAAAACTAGAGTAAAAATATAGTGCTATATTAAACAGAATAACTTTATGATTTCCCTACCTCATAGTGATACTAAATAAATGAGACAACTGCGACTATGAATAGACCATTTAATTTGTCATTGTTGTCACTCCTACCAAGCACGAAGCAATTGGGAATGGAATTTCATCAATCATATTAAAAATGTTCAAGGTGAAAATTGAATTATCCCCATTCCCCAAATGTTGCAATTTTTCAATTAACTCCATCATTACTCTACTCTAACAAGAACAGCTTTGATCAATAGTCACGCACCAAGTGAAATGCCTTCTTTATCTCATCCTGACTGGCAGTTTCAGGAACACCAAGAACTCGATAATAGTCTCGTTCAGCAGCAGAAGAAAATGATGGAACAACAAAAGCATAAAAAGGAAACCAAATGAAAATCTTATCATAGCTGGATATCATTGATAACTTGAAACAAGGTGGTTCATGTTTGACTCAAAACCTGTGGCATGAATATAACGATATCTCAATGGTGTTCTAGGAATTGGAGACTCCTCCGTTTTTGTAAAAAAACTGCAATTCACCAAAGCTGGAAGAACATTTAATTTAACCCAAAACAAGCAACAACAAAAAATCAGAAAAATGGAAATAATAATTAAGATGCAAAAAAGAATGAGAAGTTGGCAACGTGCCTCGTGCGAGTAACAAGGATTGGGAAGACGACAAGAATTTGGTGAACGAATCTCCTTTATCGATTGAGGCCACAGACGAAAGCAAATGGCGCCGATACTGCATTGGAAGAATTGGTGATGAGAACAAGGATAATTGAGAAAATGGAACAATAATTTTGAATGATTTTGGAATTCTTGTTGATTCACTCACTGGCGTTAACCACGTGAACCTTCTCATTTGAGTTAAATGTTCGTGATAGCTGCAAAATTGATAGGGATGAAAGCTTTGAGGTTCCGGTGGATCTAAGGGTTTTAACACATTGGGGTTTAGGTTGGGGCTTAAGAATGTTCTCACGCAGCAGTTTTAGTCCACACCTGGCCAGCTGCGTAAATAGATTGGCGGGCCTACCTTAAATCTGAGCTAGTCGGCTCTATTTGCCTTTTACTTTCAGAAAATTTATTTAAAGAATGAGAAATATTTTTCTCATGTTGTATTGTATGAGACAAATTATCTCATGCAACACATAAAAAAGTGGGTAGGATTCATTTTTTTTCTTTCTCTTTCTTTTTCTCAGTAGGTCTCACTCACTTTTTTGTGTGTTGGAAGAGACAATTTGTCTCATGCAACATGAGAAAAAATATTCCCCTTAAAAAATATGTCATAAATCCACTTAAATCTGGTCTAAAAACCTATATGCTAGCTTTTTGAATTTTTTTAATAATATAATATATTTATTATATATATTATTCACTTAAAGACATTTTATGTCTTATGAGATCATGATTTATAACTCTAATTTGTAAAGTAATAGGATTGATGTTATTTTAAAAATAATAAAAATTTATTTAAAAAATAATATTAAATTAAATTAGTAAAAAAATGCAAATATATATATATATATATTCATATTTGCAGCCTTGCAGGTACAGTGTCATGCAACTACTACAGACAAGATAAATGGTGTGCATGACAACCATTTCATTCCCTACTATTGTGTTTGATAACACAACAAATAATATAATAAAAAATAATTCCTATTAAATATAAAAAAATTTCAGATCATCACTTTCATTTCCATGTTGTATGGTTGTGGTGGTGGTGGTGGTGGTGGCGACAGCGGTACGGTAGTGGTGGTGGCAGTGACGTGGTGATGATAGTGGTGACGATTGTGACGGTAGTGGTGGGGATGGTGGTGGTAATGGCGGGGATGGTGGAGGTGGAGGTGACGGCAGTGGCTGCACCAATGGTGGTGGGGATGGTGGTTGGTGGCAGCGGCCACAATGGTAGCGGTGGCATGGTGATGGTTCAGATCATCACTTTCATTTCCATGTTGTGTGGTTGTGGTGGTGGTGGCGACAGCGGTACGGTAGTGGCAGTGACGTGGTGATGATAGTGGTGACGATTGTGACGGTAGTGGTGGGGATGGTGGTGGTAATGGCGGGGATGGTGGAGGTGGAGGTGACGGCAGTGGCTGTACCAATGGTGGTGGGGATGGTGGTTGGTGGCAGCGGCCACAATGGTAGCGGTGGCATAATGATGGTGGTTGTGATGGCGGTGGCTGCGACGGTGATAGTGGTGGTAGGTGAAGGCATGGCTGAGACGATGGTGGTGGTGGTTGGTGGCGGTGGCGGCGGCGGCGGTAGTGGCTGCGGCAATGGTAGTGGTGGTTGGTGATAGTGGTGGTGATGGTAGCGGTTGCGTCGTGGTGATGGTAGTAGTGGCAGTGGCAGTGGCGTGGTGATGGCGATGGTGGCGGACGCGGTGACGACGATGATGGTGGTGGTGACGGTGACAGTGATAGTGGTGATGGTGATGGTGATGGCGGCGTGGTAATTGTGGTGGTGGTGACGGTGGCATGGTAATAGTGATGGGTGGATGTGGTGGTAATGGTGGCGGTGGCATCGTGGTAGTGGGGGGAGGTGACGACGGCACTAGTGGTACGACTGCGGCGGCGACGATCGTGGCGGTGGTCATGTCGGGATGATGGTGGTGGTGGTGGTGATGGTAGAGGTGGAGAGTGATTGAGAGAGATAAGTGTTTCTCGTTTTGTGCCTGGGAACAAATAAATAGAAACTTTCTGATTCTTTTTTTTGTTCCCTTGCACAAAAATTAAACCAGTTTATCCCGGGAACAAAAAAATAAACTGGTTTTACTAAACGAGTTTTCTATCCATTTTTCCCGGGAACATAAATTAAAAAAAAAATGATTCCGAACAGGTTATCATGCATACCCAAAGTCATTAAATATTTTGTCTCTTCAACTTTTATTACTAATATTTAACTTGTCTTTTCTTTGTAGGAAAAAAAATTAGTCCTCTTGCATGATGAATCCAAAGCCCATACACACACAATATATATATATATAGGGGTAGGATCTCTTGACACCGATGTTAAACTTGTGTGTGTTAGGAAAATTTTCAATGAAAAAACATTGGTTACAAGTGTTGCTGATGTTAATGTTAAAGTGTTGCATGAAAAAACATCATGTGTTCCTTAACTCTCTCATTTTGATAAATTTATTCTATAATGATTGAAACTGTTGATATTCCTTGTAAATAGAATAGGAAACATATTATGTGCTTGCTGTATTTGGTTTAGTCAATCCCTGAAACTACGGAATTTAATTGTGTATACTGTAATTATAAATTCATGAGGTTTAGAGAGGATTCCTCTCAAGTCATTCATATGAGAAGATCACTTATTCAGGTCTTAAAAAAGAGAGGAGGGATTTTGGGGTGGGGGGGTGGGATGCCAAACTTCTGTGTCATTCGAAATTCAATTTCATAGTGGAACAAAAAGACTATACTGATGAGGTTGACTCAACTGACAATATCAAACAGAGTCGATAACAAGGTCTCAGGTTCAAGTCCTATTAGTGAACTTTCTTTGGTAAGTCATCTATAAGTATCATTGTGATCCCTTACTAAAGCTTGTAGCATGCCCTCATCTTGAAATGGACCAACCTTGGCCCCTCTAAACTTTTCTTTACTTAAAAAACAATTATACTAACAAAGTAAATCTTAGCTTACTGCTTACTTTTACTTGCATCTTCCCCGATAAAGTAGGCACCTCAACTTTGCCACCTAGAATAGCCTGAAAAAGTTAAAACATTACGCTACATTGGAAGAATGGCGCCGATACTGCTTTGGAAGAATTGGTGATGAGAACAAGGATAATTGAGAAAATGGAACAATAATTTTGAATGATTTTGGAATTCTTGTTGATTCACTCACTGGCGTTAACCACGTGAACCTTCTCATTTGAGTTAAATGTTCGTGATAGCTGCAAAATTGATAGGGATGAAAGCTTTGAGGTTCCGGTGGATCTAAGGGTTTTAACACATTGGGGTTTAGGTTGGGGCTTAAGAATGTTCTCACGCTGCCGTTTTAGTCCACACCTGGCCAGCTGCGTAAATAGATTGGCGGGCCTACCTTAAATCTGAGCTGGTCGGCTCTATTTGCCTTTTACTTTCAGAAAATTTATTTAAAAAATGAGAAATATTTTTCTCATGTTGTATGAGACAAATTATCTCATGCAACACATAAAAAAGTGGGTAGGATTCATTTTTTTCTTTCTCTTTCTTTTTCTCAGTAGGTCTCACTCACTTTTTTGTGTGTTGGATGAGACAATTTGTCTCATGCTATATATATATATATATATATATTCATATTTGCAGCCTTGCAGGTACAGTGTCATGCAACTACTACAGACAAGATAAATGGTGTGCATGACAACCATTTCATTCCCTACCATTGTGTTTGATAATTGTGTTTGATAATTGTGTTTGATAACACAACAAATAATATAATAAAAAATAATTCCTATTAAATATAAAAAAATTCGGATCATCACTTTCATTTTCATGTTGTGTGGTTGTGGTGGTGGTGGTGGTGGTGGTGGTGGCGACAACAGTACGGTAGTGGTGGTGGCAGTGACGTGGTGATGATAGTGGTAGTGGTTGTGACGGTAGTGGTGGGGATGATGGTGGTAACGACGGGGATGGTGGAGGTGGAGGTGACGGCAGTGGCTGCGCCAATGGTGGTGGGGATGGTGGTTGGTGGCAGCGGCCACAATGGTAGCGGTGGCATGGTGATGGTGGTTGTGATGGCATCATGGTGGTGATGGCAGTGGCTGCGACGGTGGTGGTGGTGGTAGGTGACAGTGGTGGTGGTGGTGGTGAAGGCATGGCTGAGACGATGGTGGTGGTGGTTGGTGGCGGTGGCGGTAATGGCGGCCGCAATGGTAGTGGTGGTTGGTGACAGTGGTGGTGATGGTAGCGGTTGCGTCGTGGTGATGGTAGTAGTGGCAGTGGCAGTGGCAGTGGCGTGGTGATGGCGATGGTGGCGGAGGCGGTGACGACGATGATGGTGGTGGTGACGGTGACAGTGATAGTGGTGATGGTGATGGTGATGGCGGCGTGGTAATTGTGGTGGTGGTGACAGTGCCATGGTAGCAGTGATGGGTGGATGTGGTGGTAATGGTTGCGGTGGCATCGTGGTAGTGGGGGGAGGTGACGACGGCACTAGTGGTACGACTGCGGCGGCGACGATGGTGGCGGTGGTCATGTCGGGATGATGGTGGTGGTGGTGGTGGTGATGGTAGAGGTGGAGAGTGATTGAGAGAGATAAGTGTTTCTCGTTTTGTGCCTGGGAACAAATAAATAGAAACTTTCTGATTCTTTTTTCTGTTCCCTTGCACAAAAATTAAACCAGTTTATCCCGGGAACAAAAAAATAAACCGGTTTTACTAAACGAGTTTTCTATCCATTTTTCCCGGGAACATAAATTAAAA